GGAAAGAGCGTGCAACAAATCAGTGAAGTACCAGGCTTAAAATGACTAATTTCATGGGTATGTAAGAAACAAACAAAAAAAGCTTTTAAAAACATCAGTAATTAAAATATTTGACTCAACAAATATGGTGCTTCGTGCCTTCATTAGTCACAAAGAAAGTCAGGAGACTGAAGGGAAGCAATAAATAAAAAGTAAAAAAAAAAAAGGCTTGCCAACAGCAAGCCAAGAAGGTATTGGTATTTCTCAGCAGTCACGGAGCGGGAATAAATTACGTGATTAATATTCATTCACTTATTATACATAGTGTTCATTAACTCAAAGCCTAGTTCACAATGAACAGGAAGTATTCTGGCTTACACCATTTGCTTACTCGTTTCTGGTTTAGTCTGTGGTTCTTGGCAGCGGGAGCTGGGCTTTGACTCGGCCGCCCGCGCACAGGGATTTCTGGAACGTTCTCCGAGCCTCCGGAAAGCTAGCGTTGACTAAGGTGCAGGGGTGCAGGCTCCTGGGCAGTAAGATCTGGCAATCTTTCTTCCATTGTGTTTAACACAAAGTTACCTGCTGGCGCGTGTAGCGCTGAATCATTCGCTCCTGCGTTTTCCCTCCTTAGTCACCGAGTTTCTGCCGGGGACGTCAGTCAGTGGGTCACCACCGTACGCCCATTTTCCTGTTAGGCTGCACTCAGGACCTTCCTACCTGACAACTCCTCTGTGCGGGAGGCTGGAGAAAGATGAGAGCAAGTTAAAACAATCCCCTCTTACATCTTCTTTCTTCCCCTTTCTTGACCAGAAAGAGAATTCAGCATCTTTCTTCATCATCATAAAAGCAGGTGAGGAAGGAAGAGAAAGGGCAACTTATGTCCCAGTCGCAGTTACAGCATCACACCAGCACGAGGGCCAGCGATGAGGGCACAATTGTGTCTCCCCAACTTCTGTACTCTGCAGTGCTTTTCTCCACCGTCCATAAATCTCATTCCTTTTGCTTATTTTTTTCACCTCTCCCCCACTTCCATGCTCCGATAGACACGGATCCTCTCAAAGTTGCACACTGACACTTAAAAACTGTTTTATCTATAAGTTACCCGTGCAGGCAAAAGAAAGCCAGAGGCGGCAGGTAGCAGAAGGGTAAGGAAGACTTCACTGTCACGCACCTTCCTTCATCGGGGTGCTGTGGCAGAGCCCCCGGCGGTGCTGTTGGCGCGCACCACCCCTCTGCCTTGCAGCGCTTCAGCGTTTACACCGCTTTGGGCGCCACACGGAAAGCCCGTCAAGCGCATCCGTGGTGCTGCCCTAATCACGAGGGATGTAACGCAGTAACGGGTGGGGGTGGAAAAAAAAAAAAACCCAAAAGAGTTTGTGCGGTGTTGTGCCAGCTGATCACCGGCTTGCCAATAATTACGTGTTCGGTATGTCTTGGGCTGAACTTTTTGCCTAGCAGACCGGGACGAGCCGGGCGCCAGGGCTCCCCTCTTCCCCCCC